ACCTAATTAGCCCTTATAAGGTTCAAAAGCTTCCACAAAATATTTTCCAATTTTTAAACTTTCAAAATGATATAAAGGTTATAATTTTTAAAAGTTATCTAACAAAGATAAAGATATTCCTAGACTAAATACATCACTCTAAAGTAATTTAAATAAAATTTCATTCAAATCTAATAAAATTTTAATCAAAAATTTAGTGGCTTGCATGCTACTTATTATGAAATAGATTTTTTATTTATTTATTAAAAAATCTGATTTTGATATTTATTATAGCCGCCGTTCCTGATATAATGGATATTGAGGACACGAACCCATTTATTTTTATAATCAAACAATTTTCCATTTTTACACGTTTATAATATAAAGAATATATTATTGATCATAGTGAAAAATTTGATACATAAAATATAAATTTACAATATATTATAAAAAAATAATATTAATACCTTATTTATAAAAATTTTAATTACTCATAAAAATATATAATTAATGATTATAATCATAACATTTAAATAATTTATGATATAATAAAATTTTATGAAATAGAAATTAAAATATAAGAATATGCTTATAAATATATATATATGTATTTATTCATTTTAGTAAATTCAATCAATATTTAATTTTACTAATCTTTTTATTTTTTAAGATAATCTTTTGATTTCTCTTTTTCTTTATTCCGGCAATGTTCTTTTATTAAATATAAATTTATTTTTTAAATATATAAAAAATTTTACTTAAAATTATCTTATTTTAAACAATAAAAAGTAATTACTTTATATTCAATAACTTTATATTTTTACAGTTGATAATTTCTCTTGATTTTAGAAACTCCTCATTATTACTTATAAATAAAGATATTTTAAATAACATCTTAAAAGCTTTAACATCATTTTTTTCAAAAGAAATAAATCAAATTTACTCTGAGCAAAAAATTAAATTTCTTAGTTGAGTGCAGTTACTCAAACCTAATCCAATATTTTATGCTCCTTTATCACCGATTTTATTGTTCCTTTTCAAATTAAATAAAGCAATTTATTAACTATTTAAATCTGTTTTGAAATTTAAATCAAAATATATTAAATAATTCAAACTTATTTTTGTTATCAATAAATAAATAAAATATAATTTTACGAGATGTAAAATGTGAGATTA